TATATATATATAGCCAATAGATTTCAACACATTAGAAGGTGATGTATCTGTAGATGTGTAGGCAAGCTAGCTTATTACACAAATATTCCCTGAGATCATACACTGAGTTTCTTATCAGTTGATTCACAAATACCTGCTGTTATTGACCACAAAAGGAGAGTGGGAATTGTCCCATTCTACCAGTGCTTTAAAGTACATGTGCAACTGACACATATATGAATATATAAACCCACCCAGAGAGGTAGAGTAGAAAATCAGTGCCATCTAGAAACTGGTAGGTATGAAAGAACATTATAATATCTAAGGCACTATACAGACATATGAGGTTTTTTTTCTCTCTCCCTTTTTTTATCCCCCTTTCTCCTTCTTGGTTTGGGGTAACTTTATTATTACCATCCACAGTACTTAATTTATACCCACACATTATAGCCTTCTCGTCCACCAAGATTCATTCTAGCACAATTAGATATTGCTGTGAAATACTTAGAAAGTGTAATCGAACCAAGTGTAAGATAGTGTCATTTTACTATTATTCCCTCCAATTATTCTCCTTTCACCACATACCTTGCAGTATTTTCTATTCCCTTAGATGTTATTTGACTAATAAATATCTAGCATCTTGGGTTTATTTTGAGGTTACTTTATTATGTTCTCCATTAATTTTGTTATAATGGAAAATAATAAAAACCATGCAAGCACGGTCTGATTGGTAATTTCTCATTTCAGTATGACAAAGAGATTATTGTCATCAACACAGCAGTGGCATGTTCCAGTAATTCAAGACAGGGAATATTTGATTTGCCAATAACCCCTGGAGAAGAATTGGAAGTCATTGATATTACAGAACAGAATCTAGTGATATGTCGCAATTCTAAAGGCAAATGTAAGTTTATTGTCGTCCTACCACCCCAAAAAATTCAATCAGTTAGAAAAAAAAATTACACAATTCTCTCTAAAGCTTTCAGATGACTAATAGTGAGTTTTGTTTCTATAGATGGATATGTGCTAATTGAACATCTAGATTTCAAGTAAGTGGTTTAATTTTATACTTCAAACCATGGGTTCAAAATATTCAATACATAGTTGCATACATTAATCTCAAGGGAAGACCAAATGAATTGAAATTCAGGAAAAGTTTTAAAAATTGGATATGCAATGCTTTAAATTTATAAGGAAGGAGCCCTGGTGGTGCAAACTACATAATTCCATAACATAATAAATGCTTGGCTGCTATTTTGGTTCTGTAGTGCCACTCTAACAGAAGATACCACAAGTGGGTCATTTCAACAAACAGGGATTTAGTCTCTTACAGTTTAGGAGGCTAGAAGTCCGAGTTCAAAGTGCCAGCTCTTGGAGCTGGGTGGGAGCCCCTTGACCTTGGGCTTTAGCTCTGGCTCTTGCTCCTGACCCAGTGAAGCTGGAGGCTTCTTTTGACTCAGACAACTGCTGGCTGCTAAAGATGACAAACCCAAGGTCAATGAATAAAATAGCACAGTCCCAAAATTATCAAACAACATGGCAGGCCACTGGTTCAAGTCAGGAACAATCCTAAGATTGGCAGACAACATGGCAGGCTGCTGAATGAAGACTCAGCTACGTGCAGGGTCCAAGTGTGCCAAAGAGCTCAGAGACCTTTCTCAAAGCTGCTGCTTATATACTGGAAGCAGACCATATCCCTGAAGCAGCTGCTCCAGTAGATTCCACAATGGCATTGATCAGCATTTCCATCATGAGGTGTAACTACATCCAGCTGCCCAGTCACTCAAAACCAGGCCCAGCCCAGGTGTCATACAACTTAATTACCACAGCTGCTAACTGAAAGGTCTGCTGGTCCAGCTCACCCAGAGGCTCTGAAAGAGTAAGACCTGGCACTTTTCTCCCATAGATTTGTTGTTGCTAAATGCCATTGAGTCCATTTTGACTCACAGAAACCCCAAGTAATGGAGTTACGTTGCCTTACAGGGTTTTCTAGGCTGTGATCTTTATGGGAGCAGATCACTAGGTCTTTCACCTGTGGAGCAGCTGGTTGGAACCACCAGCCTTTCGGTTAGCAGCAAAGCACTTAACTGTTACACAACCAGAGCTCCTTAGAAAACCCTATGGGGCAGTTCTACTCTGTCACATAGGGTCACTATGGGTCTAAATCAACTCAATGGCATCTATCAATGACTATCTGTAAAGATTACGTTGGAAGGAACTTTATTATTGTGTCTCCTCAGGGTGTTACAAAACTTTCCTACAGGGTGTATTTATAAACATCTTGAACAAGAATGAAAGTATTGAATTGGCTCAGAAACTCCCTAGGAAGCTCCTGCTTATGACTCCATTAGCCTATATTTCAAAATGCATATGTGTTTTTCTTTTTTCTCAGGCATCACGGTTGGTCTCCTTAAGAAGATCACCATCTAACTGCATGGGCTGCACATGTAAGAACGGGTCCTAACGTCTCAGTCCTGCCTCACTGTCAGTTCAGTTAACATGCCAAAATGAGATGGTGGAATCTGTGGAAACTTTTCAGTTGGAATTTAGAAGAGAAAAACAAAAACAAATCCTCAACAGTTAGATGTTGGTTTTACTCATAAAAGGTTATCTTTCAGTGTCTGTTTCAGCATCTATTTCACTGCTGGTTGTAGAGAATGTGAAACAGTGTGTGTTAGCATTTGAGTACTTGTTTAATGAGCCATAGCCAAAGTTAGAAATCATGCCGTATGGCATCTCGTCAGCTGTGCAGATGGCTCAGTTGGTTCTAATATTAGTACACTATTGTTTGAATTTTTCTATAAGATGTTGTACATTTTAATTGGGTATAATTTAATTCTGAACAGTAACTAGTGTAAGGATGGTGTTTTAAATGTTCAAATGTAAGGTATAATCTTAAAATAATTATGGCTCAGACTGTAAAAATCAAGGTATAAGTGCCTTTCTGCTTTATCACAAAAATAAAAAAATGCTGCTCAACATTGCTTTCCTTTAGAAAAAGTGTGTTGAAAGGTAATTTATTCCTAAAACCATCCAATATCATTTTAAGAAGTGCCTAACTATAGTTAATAAAATCTAAATAGTGTATATGCTATATCCCTTTAAAACATCCTGTTGCTCTTGTACTTTGATAATGTTGTCAGAAGGGACCAGTCCCTGGAGAAGGATATCATGCTGGGTAAAGTCCAGGGTCAGCAAAAAAAGGGGAAGACCCTCAACGAGATGGATTGACACAGTGGCTGCAACAATGAGCTCAAGTGTAGCAAGGATGTGAGGAGGACACGGGACCAGGCAGTGTTTCATTCCATTGTACCTCGGGTCAACGCGGGTTGGAACTGACTCAGTGGCACCTAACAACAACAGCAACAACGTTGCTCAAAATAAGGAAAATTGCCATTATTTTGCCTATATCTGAACACATATTCAAACAGAATTTGTATGTACTTTCATTTATATGGAAGTAAAAATTTAAAAGATGAGCTATAAATAAAATTTAATCTATTTTTTAATCTCTTTTCAAAAAAAAAAATGAGACAATTTTTTAAGCCACTAGATTCTTTTATCTTCTTTTTCATGCTCCAACCGGCACTTACCAATAATGACATAGCTTATTCTAGAAGACACTCAAGAATCAAAGATATTTACAAAGTTCAGAGTTTAAAGAGGGTGAAAGGTAGAGATGATTATTACAACTAACATAATTATAATAAGCAAGGTATGAATGGGATGTTTAGATGCTTAAGAAGACTTTTATGGAGAAGGTGACACTGAAGCCAGGTCTTTAAAATATTCTACACATGGCACAGACAATCCATGGTATGCATGGAGACTAGGAAGAAGTTCAGATTAAATTGTAGTGTAGTATGATGGGTGGAAAGTTGTAGGAGCTGTTTGGAATGGGTGGGTAAACTGGGGCTAGAATGTGATTGAGCTCACATACTATGCTAAGGAATTTGGACTTTTTCATCTAGGCTGGGCGTCATTCAAAAGTTTTAAGCAGCAAGGCAATGCCAGGTGTTTAGGGAGAAAAGAAACGATCACAGCAATGTAGAGGATAGATTAGAGAGAGACTAGTTGTGTTTGCAGTATTCTAAGCAAATGAGCATTAGGCCTTAATGTAAGACAGTACAATAGACATCTACAGCACAGGGATTCATATTGTTGTTGTTATTTTGCCATCGAGTCAGCCCCGACTCACAGCGACCCCTCCTTGGGTTTCCAAGGCAGTATCACTACGGAAGTAGATTTCCCAACCTTCATTCTGAGGAGTGGCTAGTGGGTTTGAACCACCAGCCTTCTGGTTAGCAGTCAAGTGCCTTAGCCACTATGCTACCAGAGCTCCTAGGGATTCATGTAGGTATTTGCAAATGTAGGAAAAACAATGGCTTGGCTACCTGTTAACTACAGAGGTGAGAGAGAATGGGAATTAAGGAATGATTGAAATTTCTTTTTGTGATGATGAGATTATGGCTGGTATCAAAGACTGGGAATACAGGAGAAGCAAGAGGATTGGTGATAAATAGTAAATTTTGTTTTAATCATAGTAAGATTGAAGCATCTATTTTTAGTTTATTTGAAACCAAAAAAAAAGCCAATTTTTGGCTTGGGACTAGGATTTGAGTTTTCAGGATGCTAATCATATCCTTTTTCTACTGCATTCTGAACTAACTGAAAAAAATAGAGGGTAAATAGGGATATCAGTTTTTCAGTGCAGGTCAAGCTGTATGAAACTGCTTGGGCCAGAGGTCAAACTCTGCTTGGACACCCTGAATCAATTTACTACCCAGTGAGAGGCAGGATAATGGAGCTACTGCAGCCATTTCCCATATCCTAGGGCAAGAGCTGTTACAGTGAGCACTGTAGAAGATGAGGATAAATGGGACTTGTGGGCAAGGAGTTAAGAGACAGTATATGGCTATGTAGAACAGAGACTCTCATGAAATAATCCTAACCAGTAGGGACTCAAGAAATAAATATCACTCTTGCCACCTCACCAAGCCATGTTGTTGTTAGGTGCTGTTGAGCTGGTTTCCACTCTTAGTGACCTCATAAACAACATAATGAAGCATTGCCCAGTCCTGCACCGTACTCACGATCTTTGCTATGCTTGAGCTCATTGTCACAACCACTGTGTAAATCCATCTCGTTGAGGGTCTTCCTTTTTTTTGTTGACAATCTACTGTAACAAGCATGATGTCCTTTGCCAGGGACTGGTCCCTCCTGATAACATGTCTGTGGTAGTTAAAGTTATGTGTCAACTTGGCTGGACCTGGCTTTGAGTGGCTGGGCAGTTGGAAGTACTTATTCCCCATGATGAGACTGGTAATTGACTCCATGATGGAACCTACTGTGAGCAGCTGCCTTAAGGAAGTTGTCTTCTTCCAGTATATAAGAAGCTTTGAGAAAGGTCTCTGAGCTTTCCAGCACATCTGGATCTTGCATTTGGCCAAGTCTTCATCTCAGTAGCCTGCCATGTTATCTGCCGATCTTGAGACTGTTTCTGGACTTGAACTAGTGGCCTGCCATGTTGCTCAATAATCTTGGGACTGTGCTATTTTACTTCTTGCCCTTAGGTTTGTCAGCCTCAACAGCCAGCAGCTGCCTGAGTTAAGAGCTCCTCCAGCTCCAGTGGATGGAGAGCGAGAGGCAGAGCTGAAGCCCAAGGCCAAGGGACCCTCACCCAGCCTGTAGAGCTGGCACTTTGAACTCCACTTCTAGCCTCCTAAACTGTAAGAGAATAAATCCCGGTTTGTTCAAGTCGTCCACTTGTGGTGTGTCTGCACTACAGCAGACACTAGAGAACCAAAACAATGTCCAAAGCATGAGAGGTGAAGTCTTGCCACCCTCACTTCTAAGGAATATTCTGGCTGTACTTCCTCCAAGACAGATTTCTTTCTTCTGGCAGTCCATAGTACATTCAATATTCTTTGCCAACACTACAATTCAAATGCACCAGTTCTTCTGTGGTCTTCTTTATTCATTGTGCAGCTTTCACATGCATATGAAGCTACTGAAAGGACCATGGCTAGGGTTAGGCACACCTTAGTATGCAAAATGACATCTTTGCTTTTTAAAGAGGTCTTTTACAGCAGATTTGCCCAAGGCAATACCTCATTTGATTTCTTGATTGTTGCTCCCATAGGTGTTGATTGTGGATCCAAGTAAAATGAAACCCTTGACAACTTCAATCTTTTCTCCATTTATCATGATGTTGCTTATTTATCCAGTTGTGAGGATTTTTGTTATCTTTATGTTAAGGTTTAATTCCTACTGAAGGCTGTAGTCTGCTTTTCATCAGTTAGTGCTTCAAGTCATATTCACGTTCAGGAAGCAAGGCTGTGTCATCTGCATATTGCAGGTTGTTAATGAATCTTCCTCCAATCCTGATGCCGCATTAATCTTCAGTTTCTTAGATTATTTGCTCAGCATAAAGACTGAATAAGTATGGTGAAAGGATACAGCCCCGAATGACACCTTTCCTGATATTAAACCATGCAGTATCCCTTTGTTTTGTTCAAATGACTACCTCTTGGTCTATGTACAGGTTCCTCATGAACATAATCAAGCATTCTGGAATTCCCATTCTTCACAATGCTATCCATAATTTGTTATGATTCACACAGTCAATTGCCTTTGGATAGTCAATAAATTACAGGTAAGCATCTTTCTGATATTCTTTGCTTTCAGCTAAGATCCATCTGACATCAACAATGATATCCCTCATACCACACCCTCTTCTGAATCCAGCTTGAATTTCTGGAAGTTTGCTGTTGATGTAATGCTGCAACCATTTGAATTATTTTCAACATGATTTTACATGCATGATATTAATGATATTGTTTGATAATTTATGCATTCTGTTGGATCACCTTTCTTCAGAATGGGCACAAATATGGATCTCTTCCAGTTGCTTGGCCACATAGCTGTCTTCCAAATTTCTTGGCATAGACAGATGAGCACTTTTAGTGTTGCATCCATTTGTTGAAACATCTCAATGTGCATTACGTCAATTCCTGGAGACATGTTTATTTTTTTGCCAATTCCTTCAGTGCAGCATGGACTTCTTCCTTCAATACTATTGGTTCTTGATCATATGCCACCTCCTGTAAGGGTTGAACATCCACCAATTCTTTTTGGTACAGTGACTCTATGATTTCCAGCTTGAATATTTTTCTTCAGTTCTTTCAGTTTAAGAAATGCCAAGCACATTTCTCCCTTTTGATTTTCTAACTCCAGCTCTTTCCCATTTGATTTAGTACTTTATTTTGTCTTCTCAAGCCACCATTTGAAATCTTCTGATAACAATTTCATGCCAGATCTTTTACTTCTGTTCAGATCTTTTACTTCATCACTTCCTCCATTTGCTTTAGCTACTCTCCACTGAGCTCTGGTAGCATAGTGCCTAAGGCACTTG